GATGAAGGACAAGAACTCAAAGTTGAAGACAGGGTTGATATCTGCGATAATCGGAATGCCCAACCAAGCGCGGTCCTCGCTTTCGATTTGCAGCCAGTACTCCCACTTTCCAACTTCGGTGACGGTGGCAGTGACAGCGGCAGCTTGCTGGATGAAGGAGCCAGAGGGATGGTCGTAGAAGTGAAGCTCACAGCTCTCTGTAGCGTACGTGTCGAGAGCCTCTGGGGCCTCCGCTGACTTCGGAGGGCCAGTCGGCTTGGACTTCTTCTCCGGTGTGATAGGCATCTTGGCCGGCGTCTTCGTAGGGGTCTGGACAAGTGATTGCTCTTCCTTCTTTGTGGGTGTGATTGGGTCTTGCGGCACAAACAGACTGTCGGCAGACTCGATGGATCTGACGAGAGTAGGGCTGTGGATGGGACTTGCGGGAGGAATCGGCTGCTCGTCCTCAAATTCGAATTGCTTCAGGTCGACTTCGGATGCTGTTGTATGCGGCTTGCGGTATTTGCGCTCGTACTGGCACTCCTTGGCGACCCGCTCGAATTGCGCGACTTGACCAGGAGACACAACGTTGTCGCAGACGAACTCGTAGACGTCACCAGTATCACCACTCAGGTCTCTCCAGGCCAGAATCTTCTCCTTGCCTTCCCGAATCTCGATGCGGAAGTGGAGGGCCTCGTCAAGCAGGAAGGTCTTTTCGTCTCTTTCGGCGGCGGCAAGTGCGTCGATCTCGGCGTCCTCTCCTTCCTCCTCGGCTAGAAGTTCGGCCTCGCCTTCCTCGTAGACTCTCTGTACCACGAGCTGGTATTGGAAATCCTGCGCAGTTCGTCGGATGCGGGCAGCTGCGTCCTTGAAGATGAGTTCGGAGTAGCCCTTTGGCGAGAGGGGGCGAACGAGGTAGAGTTGTCCTTGGGGGAGCTCGATGAGAGATTCTTGGTTGCTGGATCCAAAGATAAGTTTGCCAACTGGAAAAGAGAAAAGTTGTTAGCATGTACTCAAGGGCTCTGGGAAATCGCAAACGGGCGCGGCAGTAAGAAGGTGGAAAGGCGTTGATCGCGAAACGGTAACAGAAGATGACGCCCAACGAACGCTTCACATGCGCCTCGCTGTCGGTCGCGGGATAAGGCTAAGCGGCGCGGCGAACGCTCCGAGTGATAGGTGAGTAGCGGGGTAAACTTACCGTTTCTGAGGACAAACATCTTGAAGTTTGGGTCTTGTTTGGAAAGCTGTGTTGATCGTGGGCAGAGAGCTCTTGCGACGTGGTTTTGTATTTCTGCAAAGCAAGCCCGGCCGCTGGGTTGATCAAAAGGACAAAGAGACGGAAAGTCCCAGACCTTGGCCACGAAACAAAAGTGATCAGGCACTAGGGAAGAAAATGCGTCATAAGAGGGAGCTTTTGAGTTGGGGTTCAGATGATGGAGGGGTGAAATGGCCTGTGGCTGTGCACGTCCCTTTTTCCTCCCAATTTTTTTGCCACGGCAACACAAGGTCCCTGAGCCACGGTGCCACGGGACCGGGGTGTCACGTGGGGCCCCCCGGCAGCGGCCGATCCAGACCCACTCGGACCCTTCTATCCTGCTAGGCAGTACCCCTCCAGCTTCTTTCCCATTGCTTCACAGACATATCGCCACTGCGAGACAAGAGAATCAAGGTGTTGGAGGCCTCAGATTTGTCTTCCATAACGACACTCTGACTTGTGGCAGTAATCCTTGCGCTTCAACAAACGACAAGAAAGCTATTCATCACTTGTTGGCACGTCTAACATGTGTCACCGGCTTACACGTATGTAGACGCCGGCACCCGGAAGGTGATGGGTGACAAGGATCGTTTGGTGAAATCCCATCCTCAATTTTTGATTGAAGTAGAAGTCAGTATTCTACGCTCGGAATACAATTATTCCAGACATATCAGGTGTCCTCAGAAACAATCTGCTGCCTTAGGAGTTGAGTAGTACTCCAAAAGACATGGGGCTTTGGCCACTGAGGAAACCCCGAACCATTTACGAGGCAGCTAGCTCAGTGAGTGACGTTTTGAAAGTCTTTCTCTTGAAGAAAGTCGAATAAGGGAATACAATCTGGTGCAGAATGCCCAACAAAAACTATCATTCTATACAGTTCTTTGAGATTACTACGTCCTACGCATGTTTCAATAGTGAGTAGAGCCCGGCACTGAAAGATATCAAACGAACAGAAGGAAACAAAACTCTTCAACCCAGAGTAATCACAGCTCCTCAGCCACGGGCGCCTCCTTCTCAATTTGGCCCAGTACCTCCTGCGCACCATCGACCTCGATCTTCTCCTCGAGTGTCTCCTTGGCCTCTGAGAAATCGTCGGCAATCAACTTTGCAATGTTCATCCCCATCAAGGCGCTGGTCTCCATACACGAGATGAAGCTTTCGACGCCCGAAAGATAATAAAGTCCGTCCCTCAGGATGGGGTCTTGGAAAGTGACACGCGGGTATTCAATGGGGTACGAGTTGAACACATGCGGGTAATACCAAGAGATGGGTTCAACAGTGCGCTGGCCAGCTTCCTCTGACTTTTTGCCCGCAACAATGGACGCCGGCACTTCAACGCCAAGCAGCTTTGACAGGAACTCTGCCGTCACCTTCTTAGGAGAGAAGATCTTGTAGAGAAACTCGTCCTTGAGAGTGTCGGGGTTTGTAACGGTTCTGAGGGTGCTGACAGAGTAGAAGCCAGCCTTGCCAGCACCTTCAGAGCCAGCTTTTGCCTCGTCATCAGGGCCGAGCGTTGTCAAGACTGAGTCGGGTGCCTTGGAACCAGGCTCGAGACCAAAGTACTCCGGGGAGAGGTGGAACGGTGAGGCGAAAAGGGTAACGTGAAGCTTGGTGTAAGGAACCTCATCAATCTTGTGCTGGAAAAGATCCTCTGAGACACTGATATCTCCATACTGCCAAGGAGTCGCAATGACGACGTTGTCGAAAGCAATCGGGTACTGGTTCGACTCTGCCTCGGCTTCAGCACGAGCGTCTTTGGTTGAAAGTAGATACTTGGAGCTAGAAGGGCCAGACTTCACGGCGATTGATGTCACCGAAGTGTTGCGATGCAATGTTGCGTTACTCCTTTGAAGCATTGCCTGGAAAACCTGCCAGTTGCCTCCAATGACTTGCCGAGCGCCTTCAGGGGCAAGAGAGACCATGGTCTCAAGGCCATGGATATACTTCAGGTTTGACGCATAGTTGACTCTGGTGGCTGCCTGGATGATATCGTGGGAGAAAAGCTCACTGATCTATCACAAATCGATTAGTATACGAAAAATCAGGCAGGATCATGTTGGGCTTACATCGTTGTTGGCAAGAAACTGCTCCCCGGTGACGGAAGTTGCCTTCAAAAGATCTAGCTCGAAGACTCTTTGCGTGAGAGATCGGAAAGGAAAGTGAGGTTTCTCATAGAGCTGCAAAAAGGTCGCAACGGTCGACTGCACGAGCTTCTGCGCCTTGTACGGGGCGGTGCCGTACTTCCAGAAGAGCTTGGCCAAGTTCCACCAGTTCCAGGAACTATCATCTTGGGAAAAGACAAATTTCTCACCGTCCCAAATGCCCAGGAAACCATCACTGCCAGACTCTGGCTCTTTCAGGGGAAGACCAAAGTTGATACTGGCATTATAGATGATGTGATTGGCCTCGATGAAGATGGAAGCGCCCAGCTCAACTGGTTCGAGCGGGTTGCCGTAAGCGTCGACGGTCAACGTCCGGCCTCCTACTCGATCGGTCTTTTCAAACACAGTAATATTGACGGGAAGACCTTCGGCTTCGGCGAACTTTTGGAGGTAGTAGGCCGCGGAGGAACCACCGGCACCCGCTCCTACATACCGTGTAAGTACTGGGTTGAACGGCGACGCGCTAATGTCATGGACAAATCGTCGGAGCTTCAAAGGTTTTCATGAAGCAGCGTTCACGTACCAATGATGGCCACTTGCTTCACGCCATTCTCGGTGACAACCTGCTCAAGCTCAGTCGCAGGAACGGATTGTGTCAAGCTGAGCGCGGACAGCACAGCTGAGAGCTTGGACCCCCACATGATGTCGCGTAGATTGAAGACTACAAAAGGCGAATCACAGAACTAGATGAAGACGATGAAAGAAGGGAGAGATAGGAATGACTGGTCAGGAACAACTGTGTCAGCGATACGTTTGAGTACGCTTGGAAGATGAACAGGATGAAAGGAGAGCACGAAATAGATTCGTCATTTGTGAGGTGTCTCCGGCGTGTCTCCGGGAGGTCCCCAAATGAATTAAACTCAGGGTGAGTAAACAAACCGCTGCTTTACTTTGGTAGCTCTGGAATTTAGTGCAGTTGAAGCTCACCTTTGGTACGACCAACGGAGATGATGCAGCTAGAAACTGAACGGCAGGCGGTAAGTGGACCGTCTATAATACTCTCCTTTATTCTATACATGAGGTTATTCAGTAAAAGACGGTCTAAGTATGAATTCTTGATCTTGGTAGATAAGCCACTTGGCCTTCGCAACCAAAGAAAAGATGTCACCGGCACAAGCTTGGGGTAAAGCAGCGGTGTATTCTTGGGGTGAAAGTTTCATTGCAGTGGTCCTCTAGGGGACCCCTAAGTCCCCACGTCCCGGTCTCCCGTTCTCAGCTTGCATTCGCCCCATCAGGAGGCTCTAACGACGCACGGTTCATAGAACGGCGGGATTGCTGACAGATGCGGCAGCCATCCACACCTCACTAAGTACATATTCCCCTACGCATGCAGCTATGCTTATAGAGAGAATTAGTCAAGAATGGACCACTGCAGGTGCCAGGCACCCACCACCACCAAGCTGGCAATTAGGTAGTGAGCCAGCACCTTCTACCAGCGTCTGACCGCCTGCCACCTCGAGGCAGAAAAAAAGTCACCAGCAGAGTCCCGCATCTGAAGCTCCCGGGGCCAGGTCAATCTCGAGAACACTCCACGTCAGGTCGCTAATCCAATAACTTTACCGACTGATACCCCCTCACGAACCCCTCGACGACCTCAAGCCAACATGTCTGCGGCGCAACTGCTCAACCCCAAGGCCGAATCGAGGGTGCGCGACCCTTGTCCTGACGATATTTGTTTGCATGCTAACGGCTAGTGCAGCGGCGGGGTGAAGCCCTGAAGGTCAACATCAGCGCTGGTGAAGGCCTCCAGGATGTCCTCAAGTCCAACCTCGGCCCTTTGGGCACTATCAAGATGTTAGTCTATCGCTGTTTATGTCTTCAAATTAGATGCTAACATTAATAGGCTTGTCGATGGCTCCGGTCAAGTGCGAATAACTACCCCTCTTCCCCTGAATCCCCACCGCTAATGCGCCGCCGAACAGATCAAGTTGACAAAAGATGGAAACGTCCTCCTCCGCGAGATGCAAATTCAAAATCCTACCGCAGTCATGATTGCTAGAGCTGCGACGGCACAAGATGATATCTGCGGAGACGGCACGACATCAGCTGTCCTGTTGATCGGAGAACTCCTCAAGCAGGCGGATCGTTATATCTCAGAAGGACTGCATCCTAGAATTATTACGGATGGTTTCGAGATTGCCAAGAACGAGGCGTTGAAGGTGGGCATCTGGCATCTATTGAACACGGATACTTGGATAGTGGTGCTGACGGGCGAACAGTTCCTTGACGGCTTCAAGCTCGAGAAGGAGGTCGACCGCGAGTTGCTTCTCTCCGTGGCCCGCACGTCGCTTTCCACGAAGCTTAACTCCAACCTTGCGGCCAAGCTCACCCCCGATATCGTCGATGCTGTTCTCGCCATCTACCAGGCACCTGCCAAGCCGGATCTGCACATGGTCGAGATCATGAAGATGCAGCACCGGACCGCCTCCGACACCCAGTTGATCAAAGGTCTTGCCCTCGACCACGGCGCCCGCCACCCCGATATGCCCAAGCGCCTTGAGAACGCCTACATCCTGACGATGAACGTCAGCTTGGAGTACGAGAAGTCTGAGATCAACTCTGGATTCTTCTACTCTAGCGCAGAGCAGAGAGACAAGCTGGTGGAGAGCGAGCGTCGTTTCGTTGATGCTAAGTTGAAGAAGATTGTCGAGCTGAAGAAGGAGGTTTGCGGAAACGACCCCACCAAGAACTTCGTCATCATCAACCAGAAGGGCATTGACCCTCTTTCTCTCGACGTACTGGCCAAGAACGGCATTCTCGCCCTCCGCCGTGCCAAGAGAAGAAACATGGAGAGACTGCAGCTCATCTGTGGTGGTGTTGCACAGAACAGTGTTGACGACCTGTCACCCGAGTCTCTGGGATGGGCTGGTCTTGTCTACGAGCAAACTCTGGGTGAGGAGAAGTACACCTTCATCGAGGAGGTTAAGGAGCCCAAGTCTGTCACCCTGTTGATCAAGGGACCCAATGCACACACCATTACTCAGGTTACGGACGCTGTCCGTGACGGTCTGCGCAGTGTCTACAACATGATTGTGGACAAGAGCGTTGTCCCGGGTGCTGGTGCTTTCCAGGTTGCCTGCGCAGCACACCTCAAGAGCGACGCCTTCTCCAAGACGGTGAAGGGCAAGGCCAAGTGGGGTGTCGAGGCCTTCGCCGATGCTCTGCTGATTATTCCCAAGACTCTCGCTGCCAACGCCGGTCTTGACATCCAGGATGCTCGTAAGTGCACAGTACGCTTGCCTTTTGAAGAAGATTCACTAACATGTCACAGTTGCTGCTATGCAGGATGAGCACGCGGATGGCAACATCGTTGGCTTGGATCTGGCAACGGGCGAGCCGATGGACGCAGAGCTCGAGGGTATCTTCGACTCCTTCAGAGTACTCAGAAACTGCATCGCCTCAAGTTCGAGCATTGCATCCAACCTGCTTTTGTGCGACGAACTCTTGAAGGCGAGACAGATGGGCAGAGCGGGAGGCCCTGGCCCTGGTATGGACGGCCCTGAGGAGTAAAGAGTTTGATGGATTCCAATATTAAAAGTGTTGGCACGGTAGACAAAAGGCGTTGATCTTAGATCTGTCAAAGCTGAGAGCCGGAATGATATCCAACTATGAAGACAATTCCTGCATTCCATTTCGTGAAGTGTGTTAATTCAAAGTGGTTGGGGCATGTCAGTCAGGGGCAGCCTTCATCGTTTGCTACCCCTCGCTGGAGGAGGGCAGGTGAGGAGCGATAAGATAAGCCCCGCATCGAAATATTTCGAGAGCCAAAAAATCTTGACCCCACGTACCCAGCCCAACCCGTCAATCTGGCAGCCCATACCTTTACATAACCATGGCAGATTACGACAGTGATTCCTCCGAGCAGGAGTTCACCGAGACCAACGTGTTACTCGGTTACGCTAGCAAAGACGCCGACGATGACACCATCAGTCGTCTTGGTGGTCAACCAGTAAGTTCTCCTTTGCCGCCGCGCATCGACAAACAGAGATGACAGCCCCCCCAAATTGACTGACACACGGTTGTTTTCACTTGTAGGAATGGTTGAACCCCGAACAACCAGCCTCAGCAGCCCTGGCGCGCTGTCAAGTGTGCAACGAGATCATGGTCCAGCTTCTCCAACTCAACGGCGAGCTCCCCGAAAAGTTCCCCGGCCACGAGCGCCGCCTGTACGTCTTCGCCTGCCGCAAATCCACCTGCCGGCGCAAGCAGGGCAGCATCCGCGCTGTGAGAGGTGTCAAGGTATCCAATGAAGCGCAAGCAGCGGCAGCAAAGAAGGCGGAAGCGAAGCCTCAGAAGAAGGTGGGGGAGAAGGAAGAGCCCAAGAAAGACGTCAGCTCGGGACTGGGAACCGCGCTCTTTGGCGGCGGTTCCGGTGCAGCGAACCCATTCGGAGGCAACGCGAACCCGTTCAGCACGGGCGCCTCTTCAAGCAGCAGCCCCTTTGGCACCGCCGCCCCGTCGAACCCGTTTTCTAACCCCGCCGCCGCCGACGAGCCCACGCAGAAGAAGGAGGAGGCCAAGGACCCGGCCGAGTCCCTCCCCAAAACCTTTGCCGAGACGCTGAACCTCAACAACCCGCAAACGCCTTCCGGACCGCCCCCGCCGCCAGAGCCGTGGCCCGCGGCCGACGCCCTGCCTAAGCCGTACCCGATTTCCTACCTCGCGGACGCCGAGTTCGAGACGCTCGACCCGGAACCTATGCCCGTGCCGCAGAACGCGCGGATGGAGGTGGACACCGAGGGTGGTAGCGGCGCTGGTGGGGGAGGCGACATGAAGGACGTCTTCGAGTCGTCCATGGACGCGGCGTTTCAAAAGTTTGCGGACCGCATGGAGCAGAACCCGGAACAGTGTATCCGCTACGAGTTCAACGGTACGCCGCTGCTGTACTCCAAGGCGGACGCCGTGGGCGCGAAGCTGGGCGCTGCTGCCGGCAGTGGTGGAATGACGCGGTGCGGAAACTGTGGTGCCAGGCGCGTGTTTGAGGTGCAGATGACGCCGCATGCCATCACCGAGCTCGAGGCGGAGGAGCTGTCGCTTGAGGGTATGGACTGGGGTACCATCATTGTCGGCGTTTGCGAGGCGGATTGTCAGCAGCGCGGTGTCGAGGTTGGTGAGGCAGGGTATCTTGAGGAATGGTGTGGTGTTCAGTGGGAGGAGCTTTCAAAGCGATAAGAAAATTATGTGCCACATGACGATGATAAAAAAGGGGGCAGGCAGGGGCAAAGATTTTGCAGCACATCAAAATAATGAGAAGAAAAAGAAGCGTTTTACACGACATTTCAAACATTGTGGCATGTCTCATATTCAGGGATATACTCTATGGCCCCCGATTCCAAAGTCAAAAGTGAACGCCGGTAATTTTTGCCGCCATGCTCTCTTCCAGCCCTAACTCCATGTACGGAGCTATTAGCAGCCAAGGGTTGTGATATCAACCCTTGCGTCCCCTTCTTCTGTTCATCCTCACACCGAAGCCCAAGTCTGCGATTTCTCTTCTTATTTTTCAAAAAAGTACTTCTTTTACGCAGTCTCCTCCCATGATCTGCGAAGAATCCTCGAGAACATGTCGACATTGACGTCCTCCCTGATCTCAGACTTCTTGGCCTCGTTCTCGGCGTTCTTGGGGATGGTAACGACGCCGTTGTCGCCAACGGTCCAGCCGGCAACCTCGGTGACGAACTTTGCGGTGGCGTCGCCGTCGAGACCGAGCCACGACTCGAGCTGGGACAGGCTGACCTCGCGGAAGGCCTGGGCGACCGAGTTGGCAATGTTGCTGCGGATGAGGTCCTCGAAGCCTGAGATGTCGGCAATGAGGTCGGCGCAGAGGTCGTCGCCGTCAATGGTGTTCCAGAAGCGGGCGTACTGGGAGCCCTCGAGCTGGCTGTTGAGGGTGCGCAGCTTGGCGACGGCCTCGTGGAGCTCGCCCTGGGCGATGGTGGAGGGGTTGATGAGGTGCAGGGCGAGGGTGAACTGCGGCGAGGGGAACTGGGTCATGGCCTTGACGAGGATGTTGGTGACGACCTCATCCTTGAGACGGTCGGGGTTGAGCTGGTACCTGGAAGGAGAGAGAAGACAAAGCGGTCAGCTGTCGAGTTCCATGATGATGTAGGCTCGTATCCAAATTGTGTCTCAATATTGAGTTCCGGTATCGTTCAGTTAACACCATGTGCTGACTTCAGTTGCGACTGAGGGGTTCATGACGGAACAACCAGTGCATGTCAGGTAATAGGAAACGTTTACACGATCATCATATAAACCGGCGCAAGACCAAGCAAAGGGGTCTGATGCCACCGACGTGTACAAAAAAGACGCGTGGTGATGGTCGAGTAGGCATATTGGAGATTGCGACTCACAGCTTCAGGAGTGTCCGGTTCGCATTGCAGTCGCAGTACTTCTGCTCGCACTGCTCCTGCAGGTAGGACTCGAGGTTGACGACAGCCTCAGGGTTGTACCGCTCGAGGCCATTGATGATGTTGACAATGTAGTCGGGCCGCTCGGGCGGATCTTCGCCGTTCAACATGATTGCTGGTTTTATGTGCGGCGTGGGGGGGTGTGAGAGGGTGGTTTTCGAGGTTCGGCGGGTTAGGAGAGGTATCGTGGAGGGGAAGGAAGAAATCGGTGCCGCTGGTGGGGCTTGGACCGCCCTGGCGAAAGATTTCCAAAAGTTCGAGTGTGTTGTTGTGTGGAAGTCGCTTGGGTCGTCAAATGAGGTTTAGCGCCGGAGCAAGGGGAAAGGTGTGGCCGTTTCTCCTCCGCAGGTAAACCAGGACACCTTACCTAAGACGATGGATCGAAGGGTTCTGCTGACTAAGGGAGCAAGCTACAGGGGTGGCTAGGAAGGTGCACGTACCCTCTTGTTCGGTTCGCAGGCAGCGGCGTCATTGACTGAGACTGTTACAGGGTTGAGCTAAGGTACCTCAGCGGACAGCTCAGTGATGAACTAACAACATTGAGCAGATGGAAAGAGAAGGAAGTAAAATTCCACTGGGCAGTTCGTGATGATAACACGAAGTTTCATTTGCATCTGTTCTCACTAGAATCATCATCCGAAGCTTTCCACGCACTAAGTCCCTGCATTGAACATCATCATCACCATGCCCAGCCCAAGTAAGAAGAGGAAACTGAACGATCAGTCGTCAACCGGAGTACCTTCGAGAGGTTTGGAATACTTCTTCTCTAAGCAGAAGCAGAACGGCACATCGTCACTGAAACCCACAACGGAACCTGCTCCTGAAGCCATATCGAATGGCACGGGATCCGCCGACCAGCAGCCGGAGTTGACGGATGAGGAGCTTGCCAGGAAGCTGCAAGCGGAATGGGATGCCGAGGTGCAGAATGAAAGAGCAGAATCTACGCCATGTCCTGAGCCAGCAAAGGACCCAAGTTTACGGTTGAATGAGACTAATGGAGAGGAACCTATCGAGACAAAGTCTGGACTGAAAGGGTCGCCGACATCCTCGGTTCTGCCAACTGTTACGCCAAAGACGAAGACGCTGTCACTATCTTCCGTGGCAAATGCTGAAGACACGGTTTCAGCAACCATTCCTCTGGACCAAAGCCCACTGATATTTGATCCTTCAGAATATGTCCCTCAGCTGAAGGAATCATGGGCAGCTGAGGGAGGGCACGCTTCATACGCATTCCTCACCCGATGCTTCATCTTGGTATCCGCTACACAAAGTCGGATTAAGATTGTGGATACTCTAGTCAACTGTATCAGAGTACTGATTGAAGCTGACCCGGAGAGCCTACTGCCCGCGGTCTGGCTTGCAACAAATTCCATCTCGCCCCCTTACATCTCCTTAGAGCTCGGTTTGGGGGGGTCAGCGATTTCCAAGGCACTGAAGCAGGTGTGTGGATTAGACGGTCGCTCCCTAAAGACACTTTACGACAAACACGGTGATGCCGGGGACGTTGCATTCGAGGCCAAGAAGAAGCAAAGCTTTACTCTGCGGAAACCGAAGCCCTTGACCATCAAGGCTGTCTACCAATCACTAGTCAAAATTGCTAATAGCCAAGGTAACGGAAGCGGCGAAGCAAAGCAGAGAATTGTCGATCGACTTCTACAAGATGCCCGCGGTGGTGAAGAGAGCAGGTTCATTGTACGAACATTGTGTCAACATGTAGGTTTTGATTTTGTAACAGCCTTTTTATCAAATGTCTAACGTCGGTAGCTACGTATTGGTGCTGTCAAAACCACCATGTTGATTGCTCTCTCAAGAGCCTTCCTCCTTTCTAGACCTCCGGGAGCTGAGTTCCCACTACGATCAGTCAAGGACCTCCAAAAACTAAAGAAGGAAGAGCTCGCTGAAGTATGGATCAGGCCAGAGGAAATACTAAAGGCCTGCTTCGCGCGGCGCCCCAACTACAACGATCTTGTACCCGTCTTATTGGAAATTGGCGTCTGCGACGAGCTGTTACTTCGTTGTGATTTAACGCTGCACATACCACTCCGGCCCATGTTGGGAAGCATCACGAGAGACCTTTCCGAGATGCTCACGAAACTCCAGGGCAGAGACTTTGCTTGCGAGTTCAAGTATGACGGCCAAAGAGCTCAGATTCACTGCGATGAAAGCGGCAAAATTTCCATCTTCTCAAGACACCTCGAGCTGATGACGGACAAGTACCCCGACTTAGTCGCATTGATGCCCAAGGTTCGCGGCGAAGGCGTCAACAGCTTTATTATGGAAGGCGAAGTGGTGGCCGTGGACAGCGGAACGGGAGATTTGAAGAACTTCCAGACGCTGAGCAATCGCGCGCGGAAGGATGTCGCTATCGGCAGCGTGCAAGTCAACGTTTGCATGTTCGCATTTGACCTCATGTTTCTCAACGGACAACCCCTACTGAACCGGCCCTTTCGAGAAAGAAGGGAGCTCCTGCGATCGATGTTTATCGAAGTTCCCCGCCAATTCACCTGGGTGAAGAGCCTGGATGCTACATCGCAAGACTCGGATGCCGTATTGGAGTTTTTTAAGGCGGCAACCGATATCAAGTGTGAAGGCATTATGGTCAAAATCTTGGACAACTTGATAGATGTCCCCTATCAAAGTGACGGCGCAGTAGATGCTGATGGCGAGGTTGCCGAGGAACCCAGAACGCCTTCAAAGTCAAAATCACGAAGCAAAGGCACCAAGGACGAGGAGGGCGCTCCGAAGAAAAAGGGCAGACGCAAGCCTCTCTTGGCCACATACGAGCCCGATAAGCGACTAGACTCGTGGCTAAAGGTCAAGAAGGACTACAACTCAAGCTTTGAGACGTTGGACATGATTCCGGTAGCCGCCTGGCACGGACAAGGCCGGAAGTCCAAATGGTGGTCGCCAATCCTCATGGCCGTCCGCAACGAGGACAGCGGCGCCCTCGAGGTCGTGTGCAAGTGCATGTCGGGCTTTACAGACGCCTTCTATAAGGCGAACAGGGAACACTACGACGACGGCGAGCTAAGCGAGAGGCAGAACACGCGCACCCAGAAGCCCGCGTTTGTCGAGTACTCTGGTCCCGAGCCTGACGTGTGGTTCGAGCCTCAGGAGGTGTGGGAGATGGCGTTTGCGGACATCACTCTGAGTCCGACGTACACGGCCGCCATTGGGCTCGTCAGCGACGAGCGAGGGTTGAGCCTGCGATTCCCTCGATTTTTGAAGAAGCGCGAGGATAAGAGCATGGACGAGGCGAGTACGAATGAGTTTCTTGCTGGTTTGTGGAGGAAGCAGGAGGCGAAGGCGCCGACGAAGGAAGGGCAGGGCGATGTTTTGGACGAATTTGAAGAGTAATACTGGATAATCAGTCGAGGTGTTGATCTGTAAGCTTGCGTTGATGTTATGACAGAGTTAAGGACATCGTTGTGCTTCAGTGGCCATGGGATCGGCAGGAATGCACGATATGGAGGGGTCCTCGGAGCCGATGTCTTCTCCTGGTGACGTTCGGAGATAACTCCAGCAGCTTGCCTCTTTGCCTTTCTGGCTGCTTGGCACTGTCAAATGACCAGAGAATCCGGGGTTAGAGGAGTAGGTGTTGTTGACAGCGACAGGAAGTTAATATGAACAAACACACCACAAACATTATTTTTCAAAATACCCAATAGCTCGTGGCCATACTCGGGCGTGAGAACTCTGTAACACATCGAATCATAAACGAGTCTTCTCGAGTCCATCCCGCATGGGCCGGTGAAATAATGTCTTCATATGAGAAGGTCGCGCAGCCCGAGGCGTACCCGTTGAAGAGGACTGCTCATTGTCCGAATAATGATCTTCCAGTCCTCATATATCGTGATGTTCTCCAGCCATTTAACGAGGAGAGCGCATCAGAAAGACTTCAGCGTCACGGCTGGGAAAAGAAGGTAAGAATTCTGGCTTACTAAGTCTCCGTATACTCATTTGACGTCGTTATTAAAGAGTCTTTTACCTATAGGGAACTTGGGGGACTATCAGCCTGAAGCACTTTCACCCAAACACTCACGAGTGTTACGGCAGGTCCATCGATCCCCTTGAATCATTCAACTCCGTTAACCCATGAAGCAGGCGTCTTTCAAGGCAGCTCCGAGCTAGTCTTTGGCGAAGGGGTTTCGGATGACGTCGGCAGCGGAGTACGATGTATAGTGCGAGCCGGCGATGTCGTCGTCGTCCCAGCAGGCGTAGGGCATGCCTCTGTCTCAAAGGCGGAGGGAGCAGCGGATCCTGTTGAGGGAGAGCCTGAGTATCGATATGTTGGAGTGTATCCCAAAGGTTCACCTCATTATAAATACGAAATCGGCAAGAAGAAGTTGGAGGAGAAGAGCGGGCTGTTAGAAGAGGTTTCCGCTGTTCCCGTACCGCCCAATGATCCCTTATACGGGATTGATGGGCCGTTGGTGAGGATTTGGAATAACTCAAGAGGAATATTCGCGTCTGTTGGGGAGGCACCCAAAGAGAATAACTTGTGATGGCGTACAGTAGTTACGATTTGAGACGGACGTGGAGACGGAGGTCTCCGCATTGGCCAGGGGTAGTATCAGCAGCCGTCGCCTGCAAAGCAAAGGATCAAACAATGTTCATTGATATCAGGGCCTGTGTCAAGGAGCCTGGCGCGGTGCTTTTTCGTATCGCATTGCCTACGACTATAGTAGTACTTGCACATCTCCCACATCTTCTTTGTGCCTTCAGGTGACTCATTAATCTGATATCATGCTCGTATACTCGTTGCAGCAACGGCTATGAGTCTCAGTAAGTCGTGAATCGGCGGTACCAGGGCCTGACCCTGTCCTCAACGAGCACCACTCTCCCAGTTGCCGGTGGAAGAGGTCGCCCGCATATGTTCAACTTCGTCCTTGCAAGCGCGAATTCCCTGTCATGCTGCGGGATGTGTCTCGCACGACTAATTTCTTCGCCTGCCTATGACTCTGTTGCGGATGGCGTTGTTGCGGGGCGCATCATCTTGGACCGCAGAGCGCTGAAGCAGGCTTTGCGAACCTCTGGATACCCAACGCGGCGGGCATTCATCGAGAAGCTCGACATCTGTGGTTCAACCTAACGAACACTATTGGTTGACTGTGTTGATTCATTTCACGGCATTCATCCTCTGAGCAATCAAGCTGAAGATAGTCACAGAGCTCATGAAGAGGACTGCGTTATAAAACTGCATGACTGGTAAGTTTAGGGACACCATGGAGCTGTTTGACACCGACTCACTGCTTTCCTAGACACTTCCCGCTCTTCATCATCCGTTCTTGCCTCGATGAACAAACGACGCAGGTTGGGCAATGTGGCCTTAAAGAGACTTGTCAGATGCCTTCATTCACTAGATGAACGGAAATGGCTTACCATGGTGATTTATTTAGTGGTTGGTATTATTGGCAGTGTTTCAGATCGTGGGCCTGAGCCGAATCTCTTAGCAACTTTTGTTTGCTGAAAGGGATAAAAGCTCCGTAATGACGTAGAGGAGCCGGAGAAGTATAATAAAAAGTGAGGTCAAGGGCAGCAGATGGAAATGGCGATGTTGCAATGAGCTCATCAATGTTTACTTGCCTTAGAGCTTGGTACCTTGTACCTCTGTAAAAGAGTTTCCGATAAAACGACAGGCCCGATAGTTGCATGTGCAACGCTGTGGAGTCGCCAAGGAGGATGGAGCGACATTCATTTAGCGAATCGGAGCAGTGCAGCGCCCAGCACTGCTGCCAGGCTGGCCAGGCTGGGATTAAGGTTAGGGGTGCATTCCACTGCCAGGTACTTCTTCGACCACCTCATCCTCTTGGCGACTACCGACGAGGTGCATTCACTGCATCCCCCGGACACCTACGACGAGCAAAAGCAAGCGGACTGCTGTTGAATACCGAGACTTTACCTTTGGATGAGCTTGTCCAGGTCCTGATCGGACTGGCTATCTCTCTCATCTGCCAGATCGCCTCTAGCCCCCTCCGACAACACACCCTAAATCACCATACCCCCTACCTCGAGCACCTCCCGACACCATGGCGGTCAATCGGATTCGTGGGGCCTTTGCTGTCCCGAGGAAGGGAGAGACCTTTGAGCTGCGGGCAGGCCTTGTCTCTCAATATGCCTACGAGCGCAAGGAATCCATCCAGAAGACGATTATGGCGATGACGTTGGGCAAGGACGTGTCTGCTTTGTTCCCCGATGTCCTGAAGAACATTGCGACAGGCGACCTGGACCAGAAGAAGCTGGTTTACTTATACTTGATGTTAGTCCGCAGTCGAAACCGATCCGCTGCCTAGGCGAGGCATCTAGAGCGACTACTGACAGCACACAACAGGAACTACGCGAAATCGCATCCAGATCTCTGTATTCTTGCCGTTAATACTTTCGTACAAGATTCCGAAGACCCAAATCCCCTCATCCGTGCGCTAGCGATCCGAACGATGGGCTGTATTAGAGTCGACAAGATGGTGGATTACATGGAAGAGCCGCTGCGGAAGACACTACGAGACGAGTCGCCATACGTTCGAAAGACGGCCGCGATTTGTGTCGCCAAACTCTTCGATCTCAACCCATCAATGTGCATAGAGAACGGCTTTTTGGAGTCACTGCAGGAGTTGATTGGGGACCCGAATCCTATGGTTGTCGCAAACTCGGTCCAGGCGCTTTCAGAGATCACCGAAACCGCACCAGAGACTCGAGCACTTGTAGTGACACCGGCCACACTGAAGAAGCTGTTGATGGCTCTCAACGAGTGCACGGAATGGGGTCGCGTCACTATCCTGACCACACTGGCCGACTATCCTGCTGCGGATACCAAGGAGTCTGAGCACATTTGTGAAAGAGTTGCGCCACAGTTCCAACACGTCAACCCCAGTGTGGTCTTGGCCGCCGTGAAGGTGGTCTTTATCCACATGAAGGCAGTTAGCCCAGAGCTTGTGCGATCATACCTAAAGAAGATGGCGCCGCCCCTTGTCACGCTTGTGGCGTCTGCTCCTGAGGTGCAGTATGTTGCTCTGCGCAATATTGACCTCCTCCTGCAGGCCAAGCCCGATATTCTTAGCAAAGAGCTGCGAGTCTTCTTCTGCAAATATAACGATCCCCCCTACGTCAAACTTCAGAAGCTCGAGATCATGGTTCGGATAGCCAACGAGAAGAACTTTGACCAACTCCTCGCAGAATTGAAAGAGTACGCTTTGGAGGTCGATATGGACTTTGTCAAGCGCGCCGTCAAGGCCATTGGCCAGGTTGCGATCAAGCTCGAGAGTGCCAGTCAAAAGTGCGTCAACGCTTTGTTGGACTTGATTGCCACCAAGGTCAACTACGTTGTGCAGGAGGTTGTGGTGGTTATCAAGGATATTCTCCGCAAATACCCTGGTTACGAGGGCGTCATCCCCACGCTCTGCAAGTATATTGACGAGCTGGACGAGCCAACGGCAAGAGGATCGCTGATTTGGATTGTGGGAGAGTACGCTGAGAAGATCAACAACGCCGACGACATTCTGGAAAGTTTCGTGGAGGGTTTCATGGAGGAGTTCACACAGGTTTGTCGATTCATTCCAGATATTCAAGGACACCGCTAACTTTCAGCAGACTCAACTCCAAATCCTCACTGCTGTGGTCAAGCTCTTCCTCAAGAAGCCCGGCAGCAACCAGGGACTGGTCCAAAAGGTGCTTCAGCAGGCTACGACAGACAACGACAACCCAGATATCAGAGACAGAGCTTACGTCTACTGGCGTCTATTGTCAGGCGATTTGGATGTCGCCAAGAATATTGTCCTGTCTCAGAAGCCCGCCATTACCACAACAATGACCAGCCTTCCCCCTGCTCTCCTCGAGCAACTTCTCGCAGAGCTTTCTACTCTGGCGTCGGTGTACCACAAGCCACCAGAATCATTTGTCGGCAAGGGTCGCTATGGAGCAGACGAGATTCAGCGCGCGGCCATCCGCGAACAACGGCAAGAGGCGGCCGAAAACCCTATTGCTGCGTCAGTGGCAGCTGTGGCCAACGGCAACGCCAACTCACAAAACAACATCGAAAACCTTCTCGATATCGACTTTGACGGTGCTGCCCCTGCATCAGCCGAGCAGCAGAGCAACATCAACACCCCAGACAGAGTGGCCAGCCCTGCGGGAGGTGGTAACTCGAGTGCCATGGCTGACATGATGGGTTTGTTTGATGCTCCTCCGCCGCAGCAACAGCAGGCGGCCAACCCGATAAGCCCTGGAGCAGGTGGTGGCGGCATGAATGACATGATGAACGGCTTCGCTGGGCTCGACTTTGGCAACACAGGGTCCGGGCAGCCCTTGCCGGCGGGCATGCAATTACACCAGCCTGCACAACCTCAAGGTGGCGAAGGAAATGGGAAGAAGACGAATGAGGACTTGCTTGGGTTGTTCTAGATCTCTTGCTAATGGAGCTGGTTCATTGGGGAGTCCAGGCATGCTGTTAGGAGTAGGTTGATAAATGACAAAGAACGAAGCCACGAAAAGCCTGCTTCTGCTTTTCTGCTTTCCGCGAAAAACTCATGTATATACTCGAAAAGGGGGGTGTCTAGACCAAACACCTATCGCGCCATCCTCCCAAGTTGCCTCCATGGTCTTCTTTTTGGATCTCATGCGTGGCGTCTCTTTTCCCGCCTTGTATAGGGACGTATCGCCCTGTGTGTATGTCCATGTCGCCCCAAGCGGCCCAGTCATCTCCGTGTTTGGCGCGAAGTGACAACTGATGATGCATAATGCTCCCCTCTCTCCAACCGGGGCGGCCAGTCCAGTCCAGCTCCAATTCCGGTGCGATGTGTCTTGTCCCATTTTCCCTGTTTCTTCACTGCGCAACACCCTCCACCCTGCCGCCGACAGTCCCGTCCATCGGCGGGCCGTCGCTGCCTCCGCCGGCGGCGGCTCTATCGCGCTCCCACTCGGCGGGCGTCTGGCACTTTGCGCTCCAGGCATGGATCTGGGCGATCTCGTCCTTGAGGGCGGCGTTGACGAGGCGGTGGCGCTTCAGGGAGGTTTGTTTCTCGAAGGCGGGGGAGACGATTGTCGAGGTGAAGGCTTGTCCGCAGCCGCCTGTTTGATAGAATGTTTTAGTTAGGAGGAAGCCCAGAATGTCGCATAATGGTGGTTTCGCATGGGTAGGTGAGGTGTGCCGGGCGCGACAGACGATGCGCGGGCGAGTACATTGATTTCTAACATGGCGGGGCATGACGTGGGGGGGTTTTCGGTTGAGGGAGTGCATGCTGGCGACGAGCGAAGACGTACCTGACATATCCGAGATCTCGACGTGAATTGCCTGCAGACGCTCGGTGAGGGCCTGCTTTAGCGAGGCCTCTGTTATTTGGTTTGCCATCTTGTATGTGATTGTGAGGGTATCTAGTGGTTTTCGGGAAAGAGTGACGATCGGGTTCCGGGGGGTGGCAGCTTTGGGTTGGGAGATTGTCGAAAATCAGAGGTGCTTGGTTCTGCGGTGGGTTTCCTGTGGTGGGCGGCGTGGCTTGGGTCGGCGATTAGATTGATTAGATGGTGGGGTTCTTTTTTTTTGAAAGTGTCAGGCGGAGTGGTTCCGTCATTGGGGATCTAAGGTAAGTTTGGTGGCTTCCATTCGTCTTGGGGACTTTGTTGGAGATGCTGCACTTCCTTATGGATTGCTGTACTGCCATGGCCCTTTGATCCGAGCGCATTGAACTTGGATTGCCCTGTTTATCTTGTTTGATCTCAAAGTTTCCTTTGCATCCTTTCCGTGAAGCAAAGCGTCATCTAACGTCCACTACGGTCTTAAGCATTCCGATCAACGAGATGGAGGTGGTCTCACCACGGGCAAAGAAAGACCTCTACTGATATAAAGTACTTCAACGCATTAACCGCTGCTTTGAGCTTTGAATCACGCGCCATGAGCAGGTCCCCATGCTCACGTCCACGGGTCATTGTATGCAATTCAGAGAGTCGTAGATCCGAATCTGTATATCTCCAGTTCGTGATTCTGCCAATCTGATGCTCGCCAGTGCCTCTTCTTTCTCGCGTTGCATTGTGATATGAGATAGATTGCAACCGATGAGGTGATACAGTCTTCTCGCCAGTACTGGATGTCCCTTGTACTTCAACCTCACACCATGATGGGATACAGCAAAGAATACTGGGTTTATCAGTAGAGACTACCATTGTAGGACCAAAAGCCTGGAACCAATCAACCCGCTGCATGCTGCTCGTATTCGTGATCGAACATTGCCAGAGGCGTTATAGATAAACAAGAACGGGTGACCAGTCCATGCGCCCCAGGATTACGCCGACTTGCCCTGTGCACAAGTCCAAACCGGTTCATTCCAATAGATATAGCCATTGGAATTAGCGACTATCATCGCCTCTATTACGATGTACACGATCCGACAGACCTACGCAAGCGTGCACTCCTGACGCTTAGATTTGATGAGTAAGGAAGTATTTAAAGGCGAGTCTGGGTCGGGCTCTGCTCTAGCTCAGAACATATGAGAAGATGTCATATCTGAAAGTTCTTTTATGTAGTTGAAGCCCTCTCTTTCACAAACTACTGTAAAAGTCATTCAGGAGAAAGAACCCTCAGCAAGAACCATAGATAGATAGGTTTCATGCTCTACAACTAGAAATTTGAGTACCTTTTTTACCTCAACAGTTTTCGATTTAGATTTAGGAGTTAGTACCAATCTCGAAGTTCTTTTCATGTCATAGACACTGAGTCCCATACCTTAGAGAGAGAAGGGACATATATTATCAATATATCAACAATATATCACCCAACTGCATCATAAACATGCAAAAATGACAAAACAATTAGTTGATTCCGAAACCGAGAATCGAACTCGGGGCTATGCCTAACCTCTCACTGGGGATGAGAGGGCATCATGTTGGCCACTACACCATATCGGATTGATGGTTGATGACAGACCAGCGAAGACTTTGCACCAAGTACCGTGAGTAGATTGGCGGTCTCCGCTTTCGGGTACTTACTCGCTCGTTCACCATGCGCGTACCCACGCAAGGCAGTCAACCACTGCATGCGCGCCCGTGGTAGACGTGGAGTCTCATCATGACAGAGAAGCTTGAGGATGAGACTTGGCTGAGTTGATGATGAAAAAACAGGTCTGTCTCAATGTTGACGAAAGAAGAGTCAAGCAAGAGAGGTTTAGTTGACGACACGCAGGTCAACACTGAAGCAACTCGGAAGGCACGACTTGGAGGAAAGTGGGGTATGTGTCATTGCGGGGCTTATGTCATTCAGTCAAAACACTAATGACAGAAGACATCTTCGTATGCATTTAATGGATATTTGAATGAAGCTCGAGCTCTGCAACCCCTCTACAACATTACCTCATACCACGACACCTAGATTCAAGGCTTGAAGAATTTAGGAACTTGAGCGTGTTGTATGTCAATCGATTTCGAAAGAAGCAAGAGTCTGTTTGATCCTTCTATATCTGAACTCTACAAGAGAAGCTATGCTCACTGATTTCAGGACGCCCATCCAGTCAATGAGCTTCAAGCTTGCTAGGGCATCAGCGCATATAAGTCGACGGTCTTGCGGGTCTACAGCTTCACTTCGGCTTCAGTCCTTGAACATCTCCACGAAAGTCCACAACTCTGCTTCTCATTTCTCGACAGCATCTTGCCTTCATCAGACTCATCTTGCCACAACAAATATCAAAATGGCGGCTAGCGACAAGTACTCCTCTGCAGGCTTCACCGCCCAGGTAGTGGCTGCCATGCGCAAGCAGTAAGTCTCACCTACACCTCTCAGCCAAACACAGACCAATTAAAACTAAATCGTCTCACACAGCTACCCTGAAGAGATTGCCGACAGGAGATGGGACAATGTCGGTCTTCTCCTGGATAACATCGTGACCACCACAACCGCCACGCCCAAAAGCCCAGTCGTCCTCCTCACTAACGACCTCACCTACGCCGTCGCCGAAGAGGCAGTTCAGAAAAAAGCGAGCGTCATCGTGAGCTATCGTAAGCTTCGCCCCCGAACTGACTTATGATCCATTATTCCCCTCCATCATCTGACAACCCCCCTAGACCCCTTCATCTTCTCGGGCCTTAAGTCTATCACAACAAAGGACCCCCAGCAAGCAACTCTCCTGCTCCTCGCCTCCAACGGCATCGCAGTCTACTGCCCCCATACCGCAGTCGACGCTGCCCCCAACGGTCTCAACACCTGGCTCGGCGACATCGTCTCCGGCGGGCCCGCCTCCTCCTCCTCGACCGCGGCCCCCTCCGACCGCACCGTCATTACTCCTCACGCCTCGCCCCCAGCCGGCTTCGAGGGCTCAGGCTACGGCCTTCTCTGCACCTTCCGCCAGCCCGAGTCCCTCGCTGACATCATCCGGCGCGTAGCCTCCCGCGTAGGCATGCGCCGCGTCATGGTCGCCTCGCCGGACCCGTCGACAATCTCGATGGCGCGCGTGGGCGCCGTGGCCGTGTGCGCGGGCAGCGGGTGGGACGTTGTGAAGAGTGCGGCCGCGGACGTGGTTGTCACGGGCGAGATGAGCCATCACAATGCGCTTAAGGCCGTGCAGGAGGGCAAGACGGTTGTTGCTGTGTTCCACAGCAATTCGGAGAGGGGGTACCTTACCGAGGTGATGAAGCCCCTGTTGGAAGGGGAGCTGAAGCAGCAGGAGCATGATGTGCAGGTCCTCGTCAGCACGGCTGACCGGGATCCTTTTGACATTGTGGACGTTTCCGAACTGTAAGTCGATCTGTGAATCGAACGTTCAAGAGGAAAAGCGATGTCTTCAAATGTTTAGGAGAGAATCGAGCTCACACTTGGGGGTCGAAGACAAGCTCGAAGCAGCCATCTCTAGATAGCTGACGACGTTACCTTCCTTTCGAACGATTCGAGTCCCGTGTCGACATCGCTGCGATGGCTAAGCCATACCGCCGAGGACAGATATGCCTTATTTGTGCACGTAAGGTCCGACTTGATCCGTGAAGATGCTGTTACGTGGACTGAAGTGATGAAGTAAATCTGTGAAATCTGTGATTTTTGTCCAAATCTATTTGGCGAATCTATCTCTTTTGCTCAAACCATAAAAGTTGCGCCAAGCCCCAACACCAAATAACGCCATCGCTATGCTCGCAAACCCCAAACACGACACCAAGAACAAGACACCTCACGATCTCACGCTATCCTTTGAAGCCCTCACGCTGCTCTCCCCAGAACCACCAACCCTCAACGCCGCATCCCCCTCTTCAAGACACTCAGCAACATCCTTCCCGCCGACGCCCTTCTCCTTCCAGACCTCCAGCAGCCGCCTCGGCATCTCCCACGCACTCCTTGCCTCCTCAACCTTGCCCTCCTTCACCAGCCTTCGCAGCTTCTCAGGCGTTCCCAACACCTCCCTCGCGAGCTCCCGCGTCCTCCGCCGCGTCGCTACCGCCGCCTCATCCTCGCGCTCCTTCGACGTCGGCGGCACAACCGTCTTACGCAGCGCTTCGCGGATCGAGCTCGCCTGGGCATAGATACCCGCGATCGCAGGGTCGAGGGTCGAGGCCATGGGGTTCAGGGGGTCCATATTTGCGCGCATCTATTTTCACATGCCCCCAAGGGTTCCGTTTAGCTTTTATCGTTCTTTCTGATCTTTTCTTGTCTGTATTTCGCTTGGGGACTTGACTCTCTCTGGGATTCATGAAATAGCCAAAGACTAAAAATGAGACTCTGTTCTCTTGCTTACCTTGCGAATCGTCTCCGTCGCGGATATAAGCTTGGAGTAATTATCATACACCAGCGCCTTCTTCTCCGCGTCCAGCGCCCGGATCTCGCCCAGCACGCGGGTATACACCCTCAACAAATCGTCAAGCGTGTTCTCCGCCAGCGCCTTGCGCACGTAGGCCTCGGCGTCAAATGACGGGCTGTCGAGCTCGCTGGGCGGGACCTCGGAGTGCTCCGCGTGGCGCTCGTGGTCTTCTGTGATTTCTAGCGAAGGGGGCGTGCCGTTCCCGCCGGCTGCGGCAGCCTTCTTGAGGTTGTAGTACTCGCGGAGGGCGGCTCGGTTCGCGCGCTTGGAGGGCGCTGGCGCGGCGCCCCCGGGGCCGGTTCCGTTGCCGAAGGTCGCGGAGGAGCCTGGGTTCGGGGAGCTTGTGAGGGAGCGGGGGGTGTCGAGGGAGGGTCTGGTTGAGGATGTCGGGGTGTGTGGTTGTGCTGAGACGCGGCGGGTGAGGGCTGGCGGTTCGCGCGGGGATGCGATTGTGGACATCTTGGTGGGATACAGGCGGCCTTGCGTGAGAGACCTTCTTTCGATCGTTGCAAAATCAAAAAGCACAGGAAGCCAATTGAGGGATTGGTCGGAGGTGTTCTGTTCTAGGTGTTTGCGTAGAGTTGGATGGTAGTGACAGATCGAAGGAAGCGAGGCTGACCTTGGGAGGACGACGGGGATGCAGGCGATAGGTCCGCGACAGAGCTCCTGTGGGGAAGCGCCCCCTGAACTTCAGCTGCACAGCGAGGCTGCGCTAATTGACACATGCTAAACGCCCAGGATCTGCAGTGGGGGGGGTGCGCGCCCAGGGTTTTAGAGATTTTGGGGTAGCTTACCCCACTGAAGCTTTATTCTTCTCCATCTCCAACCTAAACTCATTCGAAAGCAAACAACAAACTTCCCTCTCGATAGGCTCAGGATGTAGACACTCACCAAACCTGAACCGGCACATGAAAGATAACATGGAATACACATCCAAGATCCGCTCCGCTCTCCAAACCCAATCCTTCCCGACCCCCTCCCTACCCTGGACCACAACCCTGACCTCGCGCGTCCCGACCCCCCCTCTCCCCTCCCTCATCGCGACCGCCAAAGCCCGCCTCCTCGCCTCGGACCTCACGACGCCGGGCCTCCTCGAACCCTCCGCCACTGCGAGTCTCCCCACGACAACCACCGATCAACCCGAGTTGACCCTGCAACGAGACGTCCCCTGCCAGGTTCTCGACGTCGAGAACCTGAGCCTCTCGCGCTGGGAACAGGTCGAGGAGCTCGAGGCCGTCGCGAGGGGGGAGCAGACGACGGGGCGGAGGGTCGTGAGACTTGCTGCTGCCACTGAGGAGCCCGAGTATGATAATATCGACGAGGGCACCGGCGGCGGAGGGAATGCTGTTAGGGCGGGTAGTAGAGCCATCCAACCACAACAGCAGCAGAGACGGAACGCTACCCACAGGCTGATATTGCAAGACTTCAAGGGCAACAAGATTTACGCGCTGGAGCTCAGACGGATAGACAAGATTGGGATCGGGAGCACAAATATCGGCGAGAAGATTGTGCTCAAGAAGGGGACGGTCGTGGCGAGGGGCACGGTGTTGCTAGAGCCGGATAAGTGCGTGATGCTTGGGGGCAAGGTCGATGCGTGGCAGAAGGCTTGGATCGAGGGGCGGATGGCGAGGTTGAAGGAGGTTGTCGAGGGGGAAAGGTGATATGGCTTGAGGAAACCGGTGTGAGTGTGGCATCACTTGGAGTTTGGCATTGATACCCCCTTGCTTTATTTGCTCATGGGAAATCGGGCAGGACAGATTCCCTTTTATTCTTTTTTTTTTATTCGTAGGCTAGCTTGCAGCAAACTCTAACACGTCTCATGAAGAGCCGCTTTCTGATCCATATCTGGTCAAAATTGACCCTGTACGTGAACCCTTCACCTATCCTTTTCGGTTCAGCAGCAATAACGGTAATATCAGCACTTCATCTGGACTAGTTGCCATAAACAGCCTCCCGCAAAGAGTTCCAACCATCAGGCTTCCAAGGAGCCAAGAAGATGGCCGTCTGCGCATCTGCCGCGACTCCCGTCCCAGCATACGCCTTTGCCAAACTCTCCGCCTCAAGCGTACCCCTAGGCGGCGCTGCCTTCTTAGCCACAGTCAACGCCATCGCCGCAGCATGTTGCTCCCCGCTAAACTCGGCCAGGTTCGACCAGCCGTGAGGCAGGTGAGGATAGAGCATGATATCCGTCTGGATCTGCGTCATGACATCTTCCTCCGTGCTCGAATCCCCGAGCTTCGCGATAGCGTTGAGAACCTCGCCGATCTGCGACTGCTCCGCGTCTCCGACGTTGTGGCTCGTCCGCAGCCCCTGCAGCTCCGACACGACGGCCTCGACCGACTCCTCGTCGTTGTCCAGGATGGCGATGACGCCGAGCAGGAGGACGGACTGGACGTGGTCGGGCTGTTTCTCAATGACATCGAATAGCGCGACACGAGCCTTTTCGCGGGACTCTTCGGCGCCCGTGGCCCAGAGCACCTGCGCGAGGAGACAGACCGCATCGGGGTTGTTGTCGGACTCCTCGAGCGCCGACTCGAAGCACAGGAGCGCCTCGTTGACATCCTCGCTGTAGTACTGCGCCAGCCCGACGGTCAAGTGCGCCGAAAGTCGCGCCTTCTTGCGCTCTTCCCTGCTCAGCTCGTTGTCGGACTCGTCGGCGCTCAGCTGAATCGCCATCTCGCCGCACTCGATGGCTTGCTCGAATGCGCCCGCGGCGAGGTAGGACCGCGCCAGGTCGGTCTTGGCCAGCGCGAAATGCGCGAGGGACTGCGGGGACTCAGTGACCTCGTAGTCGGACTCGAGAATGCCGCAGATCTTCTCCAGCGTCTCCACCGCCTTTCCCGTATCATGGGTCCGCTCCAGGAACATGGCTGACAGGTGTCCGTACGCGAGGTCCTGTGGCTTCAGGCTGTTGAGCTGGCCGAGGCCGAAGATGGGCTGAATCAGGGAGGCGATGTTGGCAGACGTCGTGCCCAGGATGAAGTCGAACACGGCCACCGAGTACTGGCGTCTGGTGAGCACCGACGATGCCTCGGCGATCTCCATGGCGTGCGTGAACAGGCCCCTGGCCTCCTTGACCTTTCCGTACAAGAGTGCCACAAAACCCTGGCCGAGCCACGCGTGCGCGTAGTCGGGATCAGTTGACTGCGCCCGGTTAAAGGCTTCGTTCGCGAGCTGCACGTCGTTCTGGAGAAGGGCGAGGGTGCCGAGGTTGGTCCAGGCTGCCGGGCTTCTCTCGTTCAGGTGTAAGCTGCGAACGAACGAGTGCTGCGAGACGGCCGGGTTGATCTCGCTCGTGACGACACCCAAAGAGTTCCAGAAATCCGGGTTACCGGCTTCCAGTTCAATGGCTCGCTTGAAGCACTTCATGGCTGTCTTCAAGTAGACGCTCGACTTCTTCCTGATGCTCGAGGGCAAGCAAATGTGAGCCCGGTGCTCGGCCCAGCCAAGGTTGTAATATGCGACTGCTTGGGCATGCAAGTCGTTTGCAGAGACGTGGATTGCCCGCTTATGACACAAGATGGTTGCGTGGATGCATCTTGTCAGATCAACACCAAGTCTCTCATCTTCAGAGAACAAGCCCTTCGCAGATATGACACCGGTTCCGACGTTATCCACGTCGGCAAAGAGGTCATATGCCTCCTTGTCGCCACTGTCGATCAGTGTCATGATTACACCTGCTGGGAAGTCAACCGCTCGGCTTTGTACCGCGGAAAAGACGGAGCAAGCATCCGCGAGCGACTTCCAGAAGTTGAAGGTCTCGGTGACGCTAGGAGCGGCCTTTGATGCAAAGTCTATCGTGTCGATGGCGAGGTGCACCGCCTTGCCAAACAGGCCCTTTTCTACACTGTCGAGAGCACTGTCAACCATGGTCTGTATTAGGGCAATGGCAACTCCGTCCTCATCAGGGCGGCCCTCAATGACATCCTGGTACAGAGCGACGGCCTCATCGAATTCAGCCAGCTCACGCTTGACATTAGCAAGCATGTACTTGGTGAACCAAGTGTCGCCCAGAGTCTCGGCAGGCGCAGTCTCCTCCAGCTTCTGGGCGTTGAGAATCGCCTTGGTGGCTGCGATGTATCGGCCGGAAGAGTAGTAGCTTTCGCCCAGGCCGACCCACGAGTGGTAGTCCTCTGGGTGGATTCTCAGTGCAGACTGGAAAGACACAATAGACTTGTGGAAATCCTGCTTGTTCAGCTCTGCTACGCCAAGGGCAGAGAAGGGCCAGCTGATGCCCTTCCTCTTCGAGCCCGGGGGCGGCTTGACCTTTCCAGAGTCAACCACACGCTGCGCCACAAGCTCGACTCTGTCCCAGTCGCCCTCGTCAGCAAAAGACTCAGCAAGACGCTTGGCGGCTTCGACCTCGGAAGCAGAGAGCTCTACAGCCTTTTGGAAGCAGCGTCTGGCTCTCTTCTTGTCTTTGGCGTAGTCGGCGTAGTAGACACCTAGGCTCGTGTAGGCTGGCGCAAAGTTGAGATTGTTCTTCAAGGCGTCCAAGAAGTACAAGTAAGCGCCGGTGCGGCTTTTGCGTGCTGCCTTTGATGTGTCAATGTTCCAGATGCATGAACCTAGTCGATACTGTGTCTGCGCGAGAAGCTCCTTCGAAGGCGTAGGCATCTCCTCGATGAGAGGCAGCGAATCCTCCAGCTCTGCCTTTGCAGTCTCAAAGTCTCCTTTGAGCGCCTGGACCCAGGCAGATTCGGTCTTGACCCGTAGGTTGGAGGGGTCTCTCTCCAGAGCACGCCCAAAGAAATCTATGGCGTCGTCGTAATCCTCCTCCTCTTCGTAGATGAGACCGACACCAATCAAGGCTGGAGTAGACGACGGATCATGTGATAGAACCCCTTCAAACAGCGACTTGGCCTCAGTGTGATGTCTCGGTGACTGGAAGAACACCAACCCTGTTGCCAAGTACAAAGAGAAGGCATCGTGGGTATTCTGGAACGACATGCCAGTCTTGTTTCTCTCCGTTTTGATGTGTCCCATCGACTTTCGCATCAGTTCAACCGTCGTTTCGTATTCCTCCAAATGCTGGTAGTACTCTCCCATTAATCGGTGAGCGAATAGTGAGTTCGACGTAGTGATGCCCTCAGTCATCATAAGGATTCTATCCTGTTCGGTGAGAGGCACCATGGAAACGCCGCCTCCCTCGTCGTCCTCGCTCTCCTCCTCGGTTTCCTCCGCTTCGAGAGCCGCCGGTGTTGGCTTAGGGAAGGGAGAGATGCTACTCGTAAGAAAGCCGGTAATGACTTTGTAGAGATCGGTCTCGGGGAAGAACGTGCAATAGTCTCTCAGCATATTGACGTCCCATTCCTTGATCTCTTTGGCGTCCTTGTAGTCAATGGCAATCTCCCAGGCAAGCCGGAAGGGGTGCTTGATGATGACCATGTCAAGCGCCAGTTTCAGGACAGCTTGAAGAGCCTGACCCTTTTCCGGGCCGTGTGGTGCGACCAGGAGGCGGTCGTAGCAGTACTGGAGAAGCTTTTCTTCATATTTCCGCCGGAGATCGTCATCGTTCGTCCAGTTGATCAGCTGGTGGTAGACGAACTCGAGCTTGCTCTGAGCTATGACTTCACGCTTGACCTCGAGAGTGACCTCAGTCAGGCGCGCGCCGATCCTTGTCCGTCGTTCGCCAATGAGTGTATTTATGCGCTTCTTCTCGTCCGTCTCAATCATCTGCGCCATGGTCTCGTAGGTTTTGGCCGGGTGTGGAACGCGACCCTCGAGAGCAGGGTAAATCGGACTCCCGGGCAAGATGACACTGAGAGCTTCGATGTATTGCGAAGTATCCCCTTGAGATCTCGCAAAGTCAATGAACTTATCAATGACATCTTGACACTTGTACATGTCTTCTGCATCACGGTAAATCTCAGCCAAGCTGATGGCAGCCTGCTGGTATGCGGCTAAGCGTTTGCGGTCTTGCTTCTCGTAGAGCTTGATGAGGCCTTGCCATGCCTGGCTGTCCTTTGGTCGTAGTGAAGCCGCAGACTTGTAAGCCTTCTCCGCGTCATCGACACGGCTCTTCTTGTCGAGGGCAAAAGCGAGGAAGATGGTCCTGCGGCCAGTGTCAGCAGCTGCCTTCGGTGTAGAGACGCAGGAAATCCAACGAGCCCTTACGCTTGGTAGTTCTTTGGCTCCCGCTCAAGAAAGTCAGTCGCCTTCTGAATAGCATCATCCCATTTTTGCTGCTTCACGGAGTCGCCAATGGCCTTCAGCACAGCCTTGGCCCCGGACATCGTGGCTAGTGACAGATGTCGTGAATCATGAACGTGAGGTATTCTTCCAAAGGTGGGGCATCACCGTGGTGCTGGAAGGCCGCGAGTGAGAGGAAGAAAGAACGTGAAGGAAAATAAGAGACCGAGAACAGAGGTTCGGGATTTACAGTGTGTTGATCCAGCCCTGGTGTGTGTTGGCGGATGAAGTGAGATTCCCGTTGGTGCCTTCTCTTGCAGTAAACCCTCGCATGAGAGGCTCAGTGAGGCATGAGCTGTGGTGAGCGCTACAGTGGGCAGTGCCCCACCATCAACACCTCCCTTATTACATCATGCCCCGCTTTGAGCATAGCAGCTCCCCGACGTGGCACCTACCTTAGCACTGGGTAGGTAGGTAGCCATAAGCTTTACATCACCACTATTCGATAAGATAAGGAATTCCAATCCAT